AACATGACCTACAACGAATACAGACGATCAACCACAGTTCTTAATTACACGGGTATGCTAGCATATACATCTTCAATAACTCGAACCGGCTGACCTTTTGAAGCTCATATTGCCACTCCTGAGGAATGGGACAGCATGACCACAGCCGACTTCGCCGAGTACAAAGCAATAATCATGCCAGACCCCAATTGTGGTAGGATAGAGAGGATCAATTTTTTTGACAAGACGAAGGATGTTTGGGGGCCTGCTGTCTTGGGAAATATCATTCTCATTGGCACGGACCCTGATTTTCATTCTTCGAGCCGACCAGGTGCCACGACTTTGATAGACGATGGTGTTCGTTTCGCGGCATCTGGCAATGGTACCGGACTTTATTTTGCTCTGTCCTGCTACTATGATTCAATCAGTTCCTCCACGGTAAACGCATTGTCGTACTTCGGAAGAATTACAGTACGTGGTAGGCTAGCCTGCTACAACAGGGCACATCTTGTAGCCAATTCATCGGCACTGAGAAAGCTTAACGACGCTGCCTTGAGTGACTGGTCCTGCAGTGTCCACGAAGTCTTCACATCTTATCCAACAACTGGTCTATATGGGTTTGAACCTCTGGCCATTGCCGAAGGAGCCACAGGGCCTGGGCAACAGTCATATGGTGACAATACCACGGGCATCCCCTACATCATCGTGAAGGGGGCGACACCCGCCGGTTGTGGAAATGGCATCTATGAGCCCAAGTTTGGCGAAGAATGCGATGATGGCCCACTCAATGGCACGCCGGACAGTGCCTGTTCCACTTCGTGTAAGTGCCTGAACGGAGCTGTTGTACCGGGCACCTGTCACTCACCAGGACCAAATTCGACGTTCACAACGACGTTGTTCACACCTTCAATATCCTCGTCATCAGCGTTCTTCCCGCCTTCAAGCTTTGCTTCGGCTAGCTCAAGGTTTGCCTCCCTGGTTCCTGTTCTAGGTGCAATACTAATAATAACAGCACTGGCCGACCAGCAACCACACCATTTTATCCGAATTCAAGGTATATATCCCACCGAATTAATCTGCATCGCCATCAACGAATTAATACTGATGATTTTCGGGCTTAGTTCCCTCACGACAGGCATTTCATCTCCGGCTTCTACAATTTCTAGGTATTGCTACCCATGTTAACCGATACTTGAGAGCTAACACAGATGTCGTAGCACCATATCATCTATCATTAGCAATACTTCATCAGCAATTCCGACTTCAAGCTCACCACCATTCACAAATTCAAGGTAATGAGGGATGGATACCTTCAGCAGACATTGAAGCTAACTTGTTTCGAGTGTCACGCCTTTTGTGTCGGCCACGACACCTTCTTCGTCACTTAGTATCACTTCAGGTTCTAGTTCGGCAGCACCATTTCCTTCAACATCATCCTTGACGGGCAATTTCTCCAGTATCATCTCTAGAACTGGTTATTCATCGTCAGGTGGTATTTCAACGGGATTACCGATATCTGAGTCTGATACATCGACATCACTTACTTTCACGGGTGCCAGTAGTGTCACTTCCACTCTTGTTACAAGTTTGGAAACAACTGGAACCACAACCATCGTGCGAACTTTGACATCCTCGATAACACTACCAAATAATCCTTCAGCAAGCTTGTCGACTTCTATCTCGGCAACAATTTCCTTACCGACACTGAGTTCTGTAGTGACAACTTTACCGACTAGTACCACTTCTTCCTCTTTCTCAAGTTCTGTCTCTTCACTTTTCAGCAGCCTGACATCTGGTTTACCGAGTGGTGAATTGTCGACAATTATCGGTACTACTGAAACAACAATCATAAGTAATCTGCCGACTGGGGGTAGCTTGAGCTCTGCTTTCGAGAGTACCGTTTCGGGATCCGTATCTCTATCGATCCAAACCTCAACACCGTGCCCTGGAACTACGAAAACTGTTACTGTGCCTGGTTCACCTTCTTCGCTTGAAAGCCTAGGAAGCACTGGTGTAACCGTCACGGCTTCCGTTTCTCTTTCGGTCTCACTGCCCGCCAGCTTATCTTCGGTTTCAGGGTCACCAATACATTCCAGCTACCACGGGTACCCGAGCAGCATCACGACTACGTCTGGTTCAAAGTCAATTGCAACCTCAAGTTCTTCAAATACTGGATATCAGTCAGTATCATCTAAATCTAGTCCGTCGTCTGGCCCGCCATCGGGCACTATCACAAAATCGCTTTCACAGAGTCATTCGGCGCAAACATCCTCTATTCCTTCGGTCAGCTTTGAAAGCACAATAAAGACAACTCTCGAAACTACAGTAACAACAACAGAATGTCCAGAATCCTCGGGGCCTGAATCTACCCCTATATCCGTGACATCGTCTATGCCTAGAGACACCTCAATTGTGCTGATCCCAGAGTCCAGCTCTGGCTTGAGTACCCGGGTGTCTTCAACATCTAATAGTCTCTCGGAAATTTCAAATTCCAATTCCATTCCTAATGTCACGCCGACTTCATTGCCTCTCCCAGGATCTAGTCTAACGTCGCCAATTTCGCATTCTGTCCCAAGCTCTCTGACCGAGGGCGTTTCCAGTACTGGTTCACCGTCGGGTTCCCAGCCAGCGACATTCACAATGTCAACGACAAGTCCATCCCCAACAGAGGACTGCAGCGTGATAGGAGTACAAATTATCATTATCATCAACATAACTGAAGTTTGCCCAGAGGATAGCACGAGTGAGTCGCATGACTGTGTCCGAATATTGCATGTCTAACGTCGTGTCCAGCTACCGAGGTTGTCACCGAGGTGATCGAGACGTTGACACGGTCTGTATGTCATACATCAATGTCCGGACTCGTCACAGGACCTAGCTGGTCAGCTACAACCACCATGGTAAGTGCCAATTCGAGGCTTCAACCCATTCTCACTGACACTCGCTAGACTTCATACATGAGTTCACGAACTTCTACAACAAGTCCTGTCGCTTTACCATGTATCACTTGCGTAGCTTCCATACCCACACTTTTGACAATCTCCGGCGAGAATCCTGGCGGTCCCTGTATCGGTTGTGACTCCTCTGTCATTAGTACTCGAGCTGGAAGTATCACAACTACTGGTACTAAGACTGTTACAAAACACGGGGCTAGTGCTCTTTCAACGATCACACAAACAAAGTTGGAATCTACGCCTGCAAGTTCGTCACAAGGAATCAGCACAGGAACAGTACCAGGAGCGAGGGCGTCCGAACAACCTTCCACTGGTGCTGGGTCTTTCACACCTGAGCCATCAAGTGCTATTGTTCCCCCTGGGCAGCCTGGAAATACAATACAACCATACTCCTCGAATGATTCTGGTAATGGGGTTAGTACCCCTGGAGTTAGTGCTTCCTCGACAATACCTCCACCTACGTCGCCAGTAACAGAGTTGTCTACATCTCTTGTAACATCTTCAACCAGCTCACCATCTAAGCCACAACCAACGACGGCAACGTCGTCAATCTATCACACAGCAGGCGCGGTGCATACTTTGGGTAGCCACCCGCTACTTGGAAGCATCTGGGGCTTGTTATATGCTTTGCTTGTGTTGTAATAAGTAGTGATCTGACATTATCACGTCAATTATGGACCGTGGTTTCAATTTGGTACTCCTCTTCGACTTACATAGTAATATAAATAAATCTGGCACACTTCGTGTTATTTAGAGGGCAGGGGCCAGAGCGGCATGTGTTTGATGATTTAGTTGGGAAAATGCCTTAGGCTGCAGAGCCAGACTAAGTATCTTTCGTATACCAAGTTGAAGTGGGAAGTAACATAGACATGGGATAGACGCGATAAACCCGTCATGCTGCATTTTCGAATATCATCGACAATCACGAGATGAGTGCCAAGCTCAGCCAAGACCAAAATTTTGAATGGCCTGGGACAGACACAGCTTGGCAGGAAACGGTCCATGTAGAGACAGATTATCACAAATTGAACATATATCTGAGCTCCCGAAATCATGATGGAAGACATTTCAGCTTTCCAACTCATGGCACATTTTGACTACAGTTTCCTATCACCAAACCTAGATTTCGTGTAAACATTCCCCCTAAAATGTAGATCGGCACAACGGTCAAATCTCATACCTTCTCGAGATTCAAAACTTAGATAGGCATTTCACGGCTACCCTCGGTAGACTCGACTCCATTGACAACTGCACGAAGTGGGATGCTTCTCCGTTTGCACTATCAAGCTATCCGATTACCGGCGCCTGCGGGGTAAGTCGCTCATCCTAAGCAAAACTAAAGTCAGCAATTTGCAGAATCCTACCCAACAAAGGGACGGTGCTGAATGGTGCAATCGCCTATCTGTGCAAGGTTGTCTTGTCAAGACGCTCCAAGGTGACCTGAGAGTCAATGCTCCACCAAGTCGGACCGCCCCCGGACCATCCAAAGTTTGGAGTGCTGTCATACGATCGTCAGAAATGTGGATATGCCACGATGTGATACGTGGAGGATATTGAAGCGATGGTTGATGAATGATCGTAGTGCCTCTGTGACATAGGCTAAGTTATCTATAAAGTGTCCCCTCACCCCCCCTTTCCCGAACTAGCAACTCCTCTTTCCTCAAGCTTCCAACATCAGTCGACAACAAATCAGCTCTACTTTACCCTTTCACGGTCGTGAGACTCTTCGTAACAAGTACTCTCTGAGGCTCCGCTTCTAACATTGTAGTGCTAACATGTAGTCCAGCAAACAACCTGCTTGGTACTGCTTCCCAAATCGAAGGCGCAATGGAACTTTTCAATGGTTTTGCTATCCATAATGATCAATCATTATCAGGTAAATATCTGAAACGTGAGCCGGTGCCCGTCTTCCTGTACAATGCCACTGGGTTATACCCAACAACACTGTGCAGGCAGATGAGCTGAGATTATACGGCCTAACTTGATCTGGATAATACCAGCGAAAGGAATCGCGTTTTCCACCCCAAGTGGCATGACACAGAGAAATCTAATTATCACAGATATACAATGGCCCCTTCAGCCACTTCCGTCGAGCCCTCCAGCGCTCAGGTCGCCGTCCTAACTGCCAAGAAGGCCAATGGCGCTGAGACCAAGGCCAATGGCCAGACCAAGACTATCGAGAGCATGATGGGGAAGTGGGATACCTTCACGTTCAACCCTATCCGGGAGAGTCAGGTTTCGCGTGCTATGACCCGTCGCTACTTCTCGGATCTTGACACTTATGCCGAGTCTGACATTGTCATCATTGGAGCCGGATCTTGCGGTCTCAGTGCCGCGTACACTCTCGGAAAGGCTCGTCCGGACTTGAAGATTGCTATCATTGAAGCTGGCGTTTCTCCTGGTGGAGGCGCCTGGCTTGGTGGGCAACTCTTCTCTGCCATGGTCATGCGTAAGCCTGCTGAGGTATTCCTTGACGACATTGGCGTCCCATACGAGGACGAGGGCAACTTTGTTGTCGTCAAGCATGCCGCACTGTTCACGTCCACGGTGTTGTCAAAGGTGCTGCAATTCCCCAATATTAAGCTCTTCAATGCCACAGCTGTTGAGGATCTGATCACCCGCCCCAGCGCTGGCGAGGAGGACGGCGTCCGCATCGCTGGTGTCGTGACCAACTGGACACTGGTCTCGATGCATCACGATGACCAGTCTTGCATGGATCCCAACACCATCAACGCCCCGCTTGTCATCTCTACTACCGGACACGATGGTGAGCAATTCAATGGGAGGCTAGATGAACACTCACTGACACGAGTTGTGTAGGCCCATTTGGCGCTTTCTCCGTCAAGCGCCTCGTTAGCATGAAGCAGCTTGAACAGTTGGGCGGCATGCGTGGACTTGACATGGCATCGGCTGAGGATGCCATCGTCAAGGGCACCCGCGAGATCGTTCCTGGACTGATCGTCGGTGGCATGGAACTCTCCGAAGTGGATGGAGCCAACCGCATGGGTAAGTAGAGACTTTATCTCATTATAGGATAGTGACGTTTCCTGACATCTTGGCAGGCCCGACCTTTGGTGCAATGGCTTTGAGCGGTGTCAAGGCCGCTGAGGAGGCTCTCAAGGTCTTTGACTTGAGGAAGGCCGAGAATGAGCATTAAGATGTTCGTGAGACTCTGTTCTTGAAAGAATTTGGCGGAGATCTTTAAGTCATTCCTTTCACTCCAAGCACACAAATCTAAAGATTGTAAAGACGCTCATTTAGCCGATGGCCGTGGCTTGTCCACTTACCCCCTTAACTGGGCAAACATACAAACATTGCTTTCCATAATGAACCTTGGATGTGTACTTGTGCTTGATCGATCATTCTATCTGTGATTTTGGAATAGAATCGCTGGAAATGAAATGAAAGTCCACTGCATCGTAGGTCGTGAATGTCGTTTTACTGTCACTATGAGGAAGGGGGATTGTGGACTATTAAATTGTTAGTGTTAGCGTAAAGTCCTAGTAACAATCTAGTGGGTTTGCGCTACCTCATTTCTCCCCAACAATAAGTCTCACCAACACCTTCAGATTTTAAAATGGCGGACCATATAACTGCCGAACAAGAACAGACAACCCTTCTAAGACACGTACAGAACGTGTGGGATGGCATAAGGGCTAACTCTGCCATCTATCGAATTCTTTTGAGCGACATCCGCCTCGTCTCTGCCACTCAAGGTCGAGTGATTGCACAATTAGACATTGCACCTGTTCATATCAACTCTAAAGGGATTTTCCATGGCTCTGTGTCAGCAACAATCGTAGATTGGGCAGGTGGTATGGCAATTGCTGCCACTGGTCTAGAAAAGACAGGTGTTTCCACGGATATCCATGTTTCGTATGTGTCCGCCGCTCGGGAAGGAGAGATTCTCGAGATCGAGGCGTGGACTACGAAGGTGGGCAGGACACTTGCATACACCCAGGTTGAAATCAGGAAGACTGGCAAGGAAAATGGCGAAAATGGACCTGTAGTCTGCACAGGAAGTCACGTAAGTAGTATTTCAGACACGTTGAGTGTTGCCTTCAGTGTTTATCTTTCGACTCTGCTGGACAGAGTGTCTACCTCGGAAAGCGTGGATTTACTCTCGAGTTAAGCTCGAGCAAAAGCTTGCCCACACTCTGATCGTCTCACTGAAACCATTGCTGACTCTAATCGTTTTAGACAAAGTACCTTCCATTCAGATGATTTTCACAAGTTGTCCGGCTAAGGCATCTAGGGTATTTCCAAAGTGATGACTGCATAATGGCCATTCGTATGAAATCAGTATCTGAGGATGTATGTAAGTGATGAAGCTCGTGTTGGTTAAACATCTCTTGGTGGAACAACGCAGCTAATAGATGCGCAGAGACAATAGAATAATACACAAAGGTGCTCCCCTAGAAACATTCTCACCATCTACACTTTCTGGAATCTGCCTTTTCTTCACAATTCAGATACTCGGCTTGCGAATCTCACAGCTGATCGACCAACTTCTCGGCGGCGTCAGTGATGTTGACACCCCATCTCTCAGCAGTTGTCTTATCGAATAGTTAGCGTCGAGCCCTTGTGATTTGCTGCAGTAGAACTCACCTGGATGTATAGAACTCCGTCCTCGACCACGACCTCACAATAAGAGGCATACTTGAATTTGTCGACTATTCGGAAGGCGATCGCTTGTTTCTCGACCGCTTCATTGAAGCCCTCTTGCAGGAGTTCATCACTTCCGAACTTCTGCCAGTCCAGCTGGGTGGCAAGTCCATCAAAGTATGAGAAGGTCCAGCTCCCGATGTTAGTCTGCCAGTCAGATCGCAAAGATGTGCCGCTCTTCTTGCTCTCTGCCGTCAGCTTGGCATAGGTGTCTTGGAAGTTTGGCACAAGCTTGATCTCTGGCCTTGACAGTATGGTACCGATCTTCTTCTGCACATCCCCAATCTTGCTCTCGTAGTCGTTCTTGATACTAGAACGGGCCTCATAGCTGAAGGTCTCTTCGCTGCCTTCTGGCGCAGGCGCTTCGTTCAATGCCTTGTGAAGGTACTCCTTCTGGACTGCATCGCTGATGTTGACTGCCAGTCTGGTCTCGCCGAACAGAATGCGGAGCTTGCCATCTTTCACGTCACAGCCGCAGTAGCTGAACTTCTGCTCCTCATCCAGGTCCATGGTAAGGATATGGGCAGAGCAGAACTTGTTGAGCTCTTCGAGGCCGTCTGCGCCGTAGTTGTCCTTGAATGACTTCAGCTGGTAGATGGCGCTGTCAACATACCTAAACTTGAGAGTAAGTTGACAGTTCACACGCAGAGCTGAATAGTTGCCTCAACGTACTCGACAAGACAGCTGCCCAGAGACTCTTTAGCGTAGCCCTCGACGGCATACGGATAGACCGCCTTAGGATCAATGTCGACGGTCCATGACACGCCCAGGACGTCTGATAATTGCTTCTCAAGATCAGGTAGCTTTGTCTCCCAAGTATCCCGGACTTGTATAGTGATCAGCCTACATTCCATTCAAATGTGCCGGACAGAAGACGAGACTCACTGTTCTTTCGCAGAGCTAGGGGAAGCTTGTCGGCAGGGGGAAGTCTGGTAGGCATGCTGAAAGAGTTGCGGCTATAACCGGCGTAAGAATCGAGAATCTTCAGAGGTTGGTGATGTTAATCATCTTGCTTGGAGCTCGGCGAGGCATCTCGAGTCTTTATAGCTACGCGGAAACCTTCCGATCAAGGCCTGACGACATCGTCGAGGCCGTGTCTTCCGTTTCCGTCTCCCTAGATCACTTGGCGATAACCCCACACAGAGAGGCGGCGCATTCTCACTAAAGACGCAGGGTGTTGTGCTAGCGATACAGTAGGCCACCCAAGCCCCTCCAGCTGAACCTTCTTGGACTTCCGTAGCCCAGCCCCAGGCCCTTTGTGGAAATTGTCTTGTCAAGCGGGTAGGGGCTTTAGCGCCATCACTGCCTGCATCACAGGCGCCAAAAAGCGCCATTTCGTCAACTGTCGAGGTATCCATACGCTAAAACACAGACCTTTACCACTTCAGGCGTCGTTTCGCGACTGTGTCAGTTGCTGCCAAGACTTAGTCTCAACGTGTTGGCAGAAACCACGCGGAAATGGGTGGACTCAGTGCCGCCGCGATGCCTGACTGGAATCTGCCTTGTGGCTTGGAAGTCTCAGGGGCCGCGGCTGGCAGAAGGGATGGAGGCAGCCTTGGCGAATGAATGTCCGTAGGCACAAGAACTTGATATTAAGTATGGGGTCGGGATGGAGCAACTCATTCTACATGAATCATATGCTACATTCAAACGAGGATTGAGGTGTGCAGGATGACTGCGCTGTAAGTCCACCTCTTCTTTGGTTTGTCCGACTTACTGACGTTGAGAGAGACCACTCAAGGTCAAGATTGGCATCCGAGACCATTGGTCTACTGATTCATGCCCTTTGCAACAAACAGTGAAGACGCTCAAAGAGCTACTCGGTCTCGATGTTGTGATTGAACCAGAGTGGCAGCTCCTTCTGGCCGAGTTAGACAGCACTTTTCCCGACAAGGGCACTTTCGTCCCCACCATCTCCAGTCATGTGGAGACATGGTGTAAGAGCCTGATTGAGCTGCTCGAGAATGAAGCCAATACGGAGTGGACGGAGACGCTCTTGGAGAAGCTCAAGGCCTCATATTCCAGGTTGCGGCTCTTTGTTGATGTATGATCCAATACGAAATCAGGCCGGAGTTGCGACGAAGAGGCTAAGAAACTTCGCTAGGTTTCAAAGACACAACAAGCTTCAACCTCGTGGTCAGAAGCCCGCGGTGCATTCGTGCTTGAAATTCCCAAGGACTCTAGCGTACAACCCGCACAGCTCTATCCAGTCTTCGGCGGTGATCTTCTAGATGCTTTCGAGGAGAAGAAGCCTCAATCACTACCCTCACACTCCGGCCCTCCAGCAACCACAGGTGACGATTGGGCTGATGTAGAAGTGGATGAGTCAAGCGGCAGACCTAGTGTCATTGACAAATCCGCTGGGCAGCTTCATACTGTCGACTTTCTGCCCAGTGCTACGTTGGTGCCACGTCCGGATGATCTGCTCCTGAGACCGCCTTACCACATGATCATATATGGACACGGGCGAACCCATTTAGAGATTCAGTGTAGCCATAGCCCAACTCTGCAGTTTTTGGCCGATTATTTCAAGAGGTGGTCCCGAGTAAACCACCAGGACACCCGAAGTGTAAGTTGATGCAGCCCCATATACAACACTCGAAGGTTAGGTCGATCCTGACTAACTGGCCACAACAGCCACCTGCTGTTGAGGTAAAATTGCAGCAGTCGTCTTTTGGACTGGGACTTATGCATGATCGACTCGTTCTGTCGGCTGAGAGCAGATATGCGCAATTTGAAGTGTCTCCCACTATCGTCCTAGCTCTTGTCGAAGGTATCCTGGGCTATGAGCGGATCTATTCAGATGGTGGCCAGTGGACATATCGGAGAGATACTGCGTTCAAGAACCTGTAGTGCCTGCTCTTGTAATCTTGAAACTTGTTAAAGTGGCTATTGAGAAAACGCGTTGAGTTGTACACTCGGAACTTCATCAATTCGTTCGGTGTATGATGGCTATTCTTAACACTAAAGTATGACTCCGATGACTTTCTGCCATGTTTCCATTGCCTTGAAAATTCCAGAACAAAACCAGCAAAAAGAGAGAGATATGAAAGGTAGCGCTGCAGTGTTCACCTCCTTGCTCTCAATGATTGGTGTAGAGTAACTCCAAATTTTTCTCCCATGCAGGGGAAGATTCGTTAACCTTTGTTGTAACCAGAGATTGCTCCGCAACCTTAGACAGAATTCCTCTACGGAGGGTCTCGCAAATGTTGGGATCGTAGAGCTTGCCCTTCCACGGATGGCCATGCCACGTTAGAGAAAGGCCGCTCAAAATGACTGAAAGGGTGAGTTGGTCATCGCTCGCGTATGTGTCGCAGGTTTTAAAGACTAGAGCGTCGTTGTTTGACTTTTCTGTCCGAATGATACCAAGCGCTGGGTCGAGATTTGAAGCATTTCGTTTGACCCAGTCATTCACCAACTCTCAAAGTATCGCTCGGATTGCGACGATCGGACTCTGGTTTGCAATAGATTATTGCCATAGTTGTTTGTGATCATAAAGCCGAGTGTGACATCCTAACTCGTTGTCAATGACGTGAACCTTGCAGTGCAAAAGTATGACTCGGTTGCGAGGACCCGGTTCCTCCGGGAGCCCCTTGACTTTCAAGGGAATCAGGTAAGTTTGAGGATAATTCCGAATACTGCTGAAATCCGAAGACGATTCTTTGGTGAAGGCTACTTGTCCAATGCTGTGCATTATTCCACGCGAAGCTTGAACACCGCCAGGGGGAGAAACGGGCGCGAGAATTCTCCAAACTTTCAATACGCATTGCTTCTCGATTCCAGCAACCCCGTTGTAGATTGATTTTCGTTCCTCTGAAGTAGACCATGGATGCAGTATTGATAGGTGGACCAGCGACAGTGGTGGCGCTATGTCTTTCAAGTTGCCAGTACTTAAGCCGAAGAATATAATGTTCATGTCAACTTCCCACAATCTACCTGACAAGCTCAATATATCAGGTCGGGCAAGAAGAAGCAAAGAATCATCTTTGTGGTCATGATAGTACGTCTGAATCAAACCCCAGATCGTGTTCTTCCACGGCGCAGTTATACCCTGGACTTGGAATGGGATTTGGAAGGAGATGGAAATGAGGATCAGACGGGTGGTTGAAAATTGTTTATTATGTAGATATGTAGATATAGCTGTGGTATCCTCAAGTGCTTACCTCTGTATCCCGAATAAAATCGTCGTGCGGAGGACAAAAAGGTTCGTGGCCGGCTTAAATGGGTGCCGGGCAGGCACGATCTGTCCATCGGGGGCCAAAAACAGCGTAAGTCCCTATGAGATAGTAGACGGAAAACGGGGGAGGGGACGGAATGGGTTTAATAAGAACTGACCACGGAAAGCTAGGATGGGTATTTGAAACGGCGGGCCCTTCACGAGGCTGTTTCCTTCACGTCTTCGCTGATTGTCTCGCGCAGGACGAGGATGAAAATAAACTTGGTTGAGTTTGGATGACGTAGATGGAACGCGTGCCCGTTGATAAGAGGAAATGTGAGTTCGGCTTGGAATTTGAGGCACACACCTGCCTCTAGGTATGGTAGAACTTACTTTCGAGGCAATCATCCCCCAAGGACATAACACGCGGTGGCAGGACGAGACCGCGCTCCTTAGTCGAGCGCTGGTAGTGTAGCGAGTGATGCTATTGATAGGGATATGACGGTGTCTCTTTCTCGGAAATGAGAAAATTTAGTGCGTGAAAAGGAGATGTGGCAGGGCAACGGAGCGGGTGAGGCTCTCCGGAAAACGAGATGAGGTAGGGAAGGCATCAGAGAGCTAGATAATCCCGTGATAACCACGAAGAAAGGCAGCCCAAGCATATGGCAGGAGAAGATAAGCTAGGAGGAAGGTGAGGCTGGGAGGAGGCAGGGTAGGGAGAGGTGAAGGTAAGGTGCTGTGCGGTCAAGCTCGATTATCTATCGTCGAGGTTATCAATATTAGGTTGTAGGCAGAGACGGAGAGGTTTGGGGGGAAGGGACTCGTATCAAATTATCACGACCGCATCGATAAACAGCTGTGGTTACTGTCTAGATGACCGACAATGACCTTCACCATCGCCATGTACGACCATGGCTTCACTCAGTGAATTGCGAAGCATAATAAAGAATCCGGCAGGACTCTCATTGAACATGAACAACCCGTCAATGACCATTTCTACCCTCCATGCGATTTTCCTCGCCATGTAAGTATGTAGGTACAGAGTTTAGGTGAGTGATGAGGCTCTTATGTGCCAGCTGGCTAACGAGTGGTGGACAGCTGTTACCGACCCACTTTTAAGCGCCCCACTATCAAAGACTTACAGATCGGCACCCACACACCGCTTTGACAATTTTTTATCATTCCAAACAGTCAAATTTTTTCTCAACAACCTGCGGAAGCCGGATCTCGCCTTGATGGCGCAATGGTAACGCGCGACACTAGTAATGTCGAGATTCACGGTTCGATTCCGTGTCAAGGCAGTTTTTTTGATGAAAATTTGACTATCTTCTCATCTGGGTCAAACAGAGCACAAATAATGTTAGCAAGCTGCCTATTTTTTTCTCTAAGTATCTCTAGAGCCAACCAGTGAGAAAGACTGCTAGCTTCTTAAGCTACAACATCCTATCATCCAGCTTAAAAATTCAATGAAATTCCGAACATACTATTCCCTTTGTCTTCTTCACAGCCACCTGATAGTAAGTTAATAGGTACAGAAGCAAATACTCTAGATTGACAAGCTTTAGCTGTATTTAGACACATGGTAGAGACAAATCGAAAGTCATAATCCCTCTCATCAACGAGTTACTCGAACAGTATTCGAAGAATTATCGTCACCAGTGTCAAGCAATTCTCTGTCGCCTTCTTGGTCCCTCGCTTCTTCTTGTTTGTCAAGACTGCCTTCGAGCTCGGGAATCTGTCGTCACTGGGTTTCTCGAACGATGTTCGAAGAACTTTCTTTGAGCGGTAATCACTAACATCTTGGCTTCGCCTTAGGGGATATCAAGATGCCTTCTTACGGACGGTAAACAGTAAGCGGTAAGCAAGACAACCCACAAACAAAGTCTCCTTTCATTTCATCGGATGCCTAAAATTCAACAATTTTATAACGACACAATTATACCTTGCCTTATAACTCCTAACTCATAACCCCCGACTGACTCCGATGATAAAATGTACATGCCATATGTTTACCCTCAATAACGCGGTCTAAGTCGCTTGTCTACAGCGTTGCGTTCCTCACTACACCGTCGAAATCCCTTCTTAGCATGGGTGGTGTTTCCGCTGGCTTCTTCCCGTTACGGTACTTCCACAACCGGCTGAGCTCCTTGACCTTGACCGAAGCCGGCCGTCCATCCGGTCGCGTCCGTCTGTGAATAGGCGTACCTGTATCGGGGTTGTGAATTTCCACCTCTGTTGCTCTCGCACGCTCCTCGTCAGTCATGTCCTCCCTAGAACCTAGCCAGCTGCTCTCAAATGCTTCACGAACATCATGACCTCCATCGCCGTCTGTTCCAAAGACGATTTCGCTCTCCATAAACTCATTCCCGGTCTCAGCACACCCGGCAAAGTTACCGTTCTCCCCGCGTGCAAGTGGAAACATGCCATCCAGATAGTGCTGGCAGAACTGATGACCGCCTCGCTCCGAGGTCCTAGAGAAGACTCTCCCGATGAATCGTGGCATGGTGTGAGTAGCAGTTGCTGATGTCGCGAAATGCAAGACGCCCCACAATGCGACAAAGTCAGTCGTGTGGGCGTAGTGTTCCACATGTCCAATCGCTCGTCCGCTTACCGCTGCTGGTTGATGGCTGCGAGTTTCCGCCGTGACAGGCGAATTAACGATGTGATGACCCTCAGTCACAATGTTCCCTGGTGAAGGACGTTCCTGAGATGGACGAGTTTGCTGGCTAGATCGACGACGGACAATATGTCCATTGGTATCGCCATTTGTATTGGGTGTAGGTACGTGTCCATTAGACCTAGTACCAGCACTAGCAGAGTCCACGCCGGCAAGGAGCGGGTGCCGTATTGCTGCCTTCTGAGAGTCATAATGACGATGAGGGTTGTTAAAATGATTTGCGGCTGACCCAAATGTATACGTTTCGAGTTTGTTCAGTAAGTTCTGCGGCAGCTCCTGCAATAACCAGTCAAGTACCAAGCCGCCCTCGATGCCGCCCTGTGAGTGGAGAATGAAGATGACCTTCGAGTATTGTGGATTATAAAGCTTCTCTTTGAGAATGCTATAGCAGATACGCACGTCTGAAGTGGCGTAGCAGAAGTTTCGCTGGATTAGACATTCCACAACATCAAATATGATACCGGATCTAGTCCAGGTAAGTCGTGAGCTTTCAGATGAAAAGCAACTAGGAAGACTCACGTTCGGTTATGAACACCCAAAATGGGCCTATTGAATGTAAGGGCTAGCCTATTGAGGTTGTTCTTGAGCCAGTGCTCGCTGTCATCGTCAGCGCCGGAGTTTCTTTCATTGAATTTGAGCCTAGCTCACCCAACTGCGACACCGTTCAGGAAGATCCACTGCTCATGACTGTGCTCTGGCAAAGCCTCTGCATACTCAGGGTCAGAGTGGAATATGAATCCCTTGCCGTTCAGCAGTAAACAGAGGGAATGATTGACTAGAAAGAATAAAGCAACAGCTCCCGCGACCATCCAGATGGGAAACAGGATAGCAAAGGGCAAGCATAATGTGAACCCAAGCTGTAATATACAAAGAATGGCGTGTATCAAGATGCAGAACAGGTTTTGCCATGTGAAGGCCAGCTCGTCCAGATCGCCAGAGTTGGTGGGCCTTGATGGAAGTAGAATGTAGGGCAGGGCCCAAGCGAAGTGAAAGAAGTAATAGACATCCCAGGTAAGCAATTTCCACGGAAAGTCAGTGTAGCTGTAACTGATGACAGTCTGGCCACCGATCTGTGATCCAAAGAACTGCGTGTTGCCCATTGTTGGTGACGTTGACTCGGCCGAGCCTGATTTGCGTCTGCGCTGGAAGAAAGAAAAAAGCCAAGACATAGTTCCGATGGCTGCAACCATGGCGGTGAGGAGTACCAAGAAATCAAGAGCGACACAAGGAATCAGCGACACCATCGCCAGAGGACGTGGCAAGATGAGGCATCCAGAGAGGCAAGGAAAGGACTGTTTACCTATCTTATATGCCTGCAGGTGTAGCCAAGCGATTTACTGACAGCTCAACCAAGACACGATCATCCATCATGTGGCTATTAGGCTGCGCTATTGGAGTGCACACCTCCACAACAACGTAACACACGCTGGAACCCCCCATGCCGACTCTGCAAGGCTGAGCGACGGCTGTCCTTCTTGGCGCGCTTCCTTCCGCTGCCGTACCGCCAGATCAGTGGGCCTGCCGCTCTGCGTGCTGACGGCGATCGGGCGAAGATATTTTGGGGTGCTTGTTACGTTCAATTGGGAGACACCGGTGCCATGTCCTCGGTGAGTCTGCAACCAAGAGCAGGTCGAGACTCGGATGCGCAACCCATCAAGTGCCATCGGACGAATCAGTCCAGCAGCGAGGGAGTTGAGGACTTCTCACATTGGATGTCCCGTGAGCGGATGGCTTCTCACGGCGGCATAGGGCTGAAGCTGAAATCGTCGGCATTTGAGGGCCGCTGGAAACGACGCCAGTTTTAGTGTGCAATCTAGGGTTCACCGAGTTCTTAGAACACCGAACCTCATTGGCCACGGTCCGACCACGACTTCAGATAACGACGGCCTGATCCTTTCAACCATCGCCGACATTGACTTGTCATCTGTTCCTGACTCCTTTGCAGGAGAATAAACATAAACGTTACTCGGGAAATTCATAGAAAACCCAACTCAAGCCAAATACGAGTCACAGCACCGCGAAGATGGCGGCTCCAAAAGTCATAATCATGATGTCTGACTACGGCCATGACCCAACAGGTAAGCTGACAGGGACAAAACCTGGGGAACCCCTCACGTCTGGAGGAGGTTGCGTCGGCTCGTCGGCTGACAGCCCATGTTACACAGAGACGGCTGGACCATACACTGCCTTCAAGGCCGCCGGCTTTGAGGTTTCATTTGTCACGGAGAATGGCAAGGCGCCTGAATGTGACAAGAGAATGCTGCAAGGAGTGACACAGAAATTACTCGTATAATCTACTCTCCTCATCATGAGAAGCGCGCGTCTTCTAGCATGTGATAATGCTAATGCGCTGAGACAGGGCGCCACGAAGGGGGTCATCGACTTGTATAACAAGATGGCTCAGTCAGACGAACACCAGCATCCTCTCTCATGGTCGGCACCGGATTTCTCCTTGGATCCCTATGATCTTGTCTTTCTGCCTGGAGGTCACGAGAAGTCGGTCCGTCAGGTAATCGACTCGGACATAGTCCATAGATTATTGGTCGACTACTTTCCCAAGACCCTCAAACCAGGAAAGAAGGCACTTGCTGCCGTCTGCCACGGGGTGATGGTCTTATCCGAGAGCAAAGATGCCAATGGCAAAAGCGTGATTCACCAAGCCACTACCACGACCCTCCCAGCCCGCTTTGAACAGGTCGCATTCTGGGGCACACGAGCCTTCCTCGGTGACTATTATAAGACCTATGGTGCAAGAACTGACAATGTAGAGACGTGTGTACGCAAGGCTCTAGCAGACACAAAGCAATTCAAGAACAGCCTCGTTCCCACACCGTGAGTGACATCTTTCAACCATGCACTAAATTGCTTGATCTTTCTAATGCGAAGCGAAAGATTTGTTGTCGAAGACGGGAAGTACAACTATATAAGCGCCAGGTTTCCGGGCGATGTTGACCTGTTCTCGGAGAAGATTGTAGAACTCGTTAAGAGCTTACAGTGATTTCACGTTTCGTTTTGTTCATTAATGCCATTCATCAGTCTTACGAGATAAAATACCATCTCGATATGCATTTTCGTGTCTTTCTCAAGCAGAAGACTGCTTCAGAATCTCGGCGACAGCCTTATCCACGCCGCCAACCACAATTGTAGGTTGTATCTCCCCAATTACCTCTCCAAGGCGGTCCACCCAGCCTGTGCCAGCTCTGTCAATCCAAGCAGATTGCAAACCTGCCGCTCTGGCACCAACCACATCGAACGGATTTGCACTCACAACCCAAACATTACCGGCACTGCCGGCGCTACCTACTTTGTTTACCAGGTCTCCGTACACACTCATGGCTGGTTTGAACGCCCCGACTTCTTCGACCGTGATGAGACCTTTGAAAAGGCTTCTATGCGGACTCAAATCGGGACTGGTTTCGATGCTCGCCGAAACCATTTTGTCGGTCCCGTTAGAGAACACATAACAATCAACGGCTGCATTGTTCTCTAATGACTTTAAAGCACCAGACACCTCGGGGAAGACATGTAGCGAGTCATATGACTTCATAAGCTCATCCACGTCGTCCTGCGCTAGAGACAGGCCCAGCTCACCAACAGCATGCTTCAGGGCACCTCGCGTGATCTCGCTGAAAGTGCGGTAGAGGCCTTCATGATATCAGAATGAGAACTTAGGAGAAGCAGCTTCAAATTTCCTCAAGCTCGGGGTGGCCTACCCATGCTGGTTATCCGCCATGTATACTCTAGCTGGTAGCGACGCCATAGGGCGGCAACTGATTTGGACTTGTCTTCTCCAAAGAAGCGAGCGAGTTCCTTTGCAATGGATTCGGTGGAAAGCAATGTGCCGTAAAGATCGAAGGCAATGATGGTCTTCTGTGATGCCATTTCTGCCTATTTGTTTTTGTTCCGTAAGGAAGATGAGTCTTCTGGTATATCTATGGGGTTCTATTCAGCTCGCCGTGCTTGTCAAGGAAAAATGCACAGCCTTCAGATGATGCGCGGGGCCTCTCGATGCGCAGATGCGGGGGAGGTTTATAGGGGTCTCTAGCCGTAAGACATGCCGTCACTGCCGCAGCTTTGCCGTGCGTCATACCGGGAATAGCCTTTGAGAAGTCAATATCGGGCACATTTTATCATCTTACTCTAAGGGGGTATAAGTAATGACATATTGGACCCTTGACTGGAGTTTGAGGCTCTTCAAGCCCAAGGTTATATAATTAAGAGACTATAGCCTCTTTGACACAGCTTCATACCATGCTTTGGGAACTTCTCATCCGCCAATTCTAATGCTACAACCTCAAACCGATAATAGCGAGAACTTTGAGCAGCTCCGAGATGCTCTTTCAACAGCCTTGATCGAAAGAGTTTCACGGTCTCCATCGAAGCCTAAGAAACGCACAAAATCAGGGCCAAAAGGCACAAATCGTAGGGCTAACGGTGAAGAAAAAGCCGAGCAGGAGATTGGCACTTCCACTGAGAAGAATACGGAAGAGCTGGCCGACTTCATTGAATATCTCGCCGCTGAGACTTTCGACAGCATTCCGTCCGAGCTACAAAGCCTAGATCACCGGATCTGGGCCGAGACACCAGCCCTGAAAGAAAAGTACAGCTTACCATTGACTGGTGCCGACATCTCGGAGCTTCTACCAGCCTTGAACCCGTCCATATCTGAATCCCTCATTACCTACGGGATCTTGAATGAATCGCAGCAAGGCGTTAACGAGTTTCTTGCGCCAGTGCTAGCCAGCTATCTAACTGCAGTCACCACGCCGCCGCCGGCAGCCTGGACAACCAAGGGTCAGGTCACTGCATGTGAGATTTGTGATCGTGATTGGGTACCCTTAACTTATCACCATCTCATTCCTCGCTTTGTTCATGCCAAAGTGCTGAAGCGTGGTTGGCATCGCGAGGACGAGTTGCAGAACGTTGCCTGGCTTTGTCGAGCTTGTCATAGCTTCGTACATCACTTCGCTGGGCATGAGGATCTGGCGCGGTATTACTATACTGTCGAATTGCTACTAGAACAGGAGGAGATCCAGGCATTTGCGAAATGGGTGGGGAGATTGAGGTGGAAGGCGGGCGGGACAAAGAGTAAACGGGGTTGAATATCACAAAGGTGGAGGCTCTGCACGAATTGTTTAAGTCATAACATACGATAGCTTTGATTCTACCGCTTTTGTGTTGGGCAGCTATACAGCAATTCCCAGGGTATCACAACACGCCTCGCCTTTCAGTGCGCCCATTTTCGCTTTTTGGTATCCAGATCCGAGCCCCCGATGTCAGCCTCTTCTTGAGCAGGATCGCTTGAACTCCTTTGCCGTCCTGCCAGCAGAGCTTGTCGGTCTTCCTCGTTGCTTCCTGCCCTTTGCCGCCTCTCCTCCTCTGGGTCTTCCTCCTCTTGCACAGCGACGAGAGCCCGCTCGCTACCCCAGCTTACAGTCCTCCCCATGCTGTCCCGCGCTCTAGCTCCCGGTACTATGCCGCTACCAACCACACTGTCGCTTCGCTCAATGATTGAGTTTGGTCGAAGACCGGAGCCATCGCCGCTCGGTGAACCCCAGCCGAACTCGGCCCCTATCGCGCGGTCCACATCATCCTTGAAGCTCTGGCTTTGACGCTCTGCTATATATGCATCGAAGGTGGTGTCGCGCAAGTGGTTATAGCTTTCCCTACGGCCAGCCTCTGCAAGTGACAGTGGTCGACCCCCTTGGGCCTGGGTTTGTGACTGATAGGAGGTATCTGCGTTGTGTAAGGAGGCCAAGCTGGCGGCAGAGTGGCTCCGGCTGCGAGAGGAGCGGACGCTCATGAATGATGTCCGCTTGGTCGGCGGTTGAGCGGAAATCTCTGTCGAGTTTCCGAGTTCGAAGTCAGACCTATCATCCTTGAAGCCGAAGTGTTTAACGTTGGCTGGGTGGTGGTAGTCGTCGTATTGAACGAGTCGTCGATAGACAACTATAGAGTAGATGCCCGGGACGACGACACCGATGCTATGTAGGGTCAGCACGAATAGAATCCGGGAATAGGGCATTATGGAAATTCATACGTTAATCCACTGTCGATGGCCAGGCCCACCATGGACCAGTTACCCTCTGACCTCTCGATGTAGACCACAATATCCAGAGCCAAGATGGCGAGAGCACTCGTAAATTTAATAGAATGCATAAATAACATTGCAAAAGGTGTTAAGGTCTCGGAGGCCACCCTTGCGATTTCGATGAAGTTGAGAATGAGAGATAGTAGCGACAGCCCTACATTGGTGCATTCCCATCTGTCTGAGTTAGCAAATGTCCTGGATTTCCAGAACTGACGATAACTTACACAACCTCTACAAGAGGGAACTTGCCCTTCTTGTCGTTTTCTTGAAAGTTCTGCAATGTCTCGGCCAGCCGGTATGAAAATATGCCCATTGTGCCCAAAAGGAGAGCGATCTGAGCCATCCAGAAAGGCACAAGTAGGGCAAGTCGCCATCCCGCCCTGTCGAATTGGGCTTGGTTGCGGTGAAGGACCATGGTGTTCTAATCTACCCCGGAGTTTCTGATGGTTGGGAGCGGCTGGAAAAGTTCGAGATCCGACGGACCCTGGAGAGGCACGGCGGCTATTATGTATTGGTATTCCGCGGTCAACAAGTCATTGCTAGAGGGTCTAGGATATGGCGATCGCCTCAAGGAATCTCTCGAGACAGGGCTAACTATTAATATAAGTGAGCCCCATGGAGCCAAATCCAAGGGGCCTCCACATTCGGCTGTCAAAACCGCCCGAGACAGGGACATTCAGCAGAGGAAATTGACTGAACGAGCCATATGGAGAAGCGCACGCTTTCCTCCACCGAGAGGAAGCAAGCAAAACAGGCAATTCAGCCCTGGCCTGAGACGGCGCGGTGCCGCGTGCTGGGCATTGAGACTAAAAGAAGCACGCCAGGAGGTCTCAGCCACGACGGCTTCCATTGGGCGCGGAGGGCCCATGTGCTGGCCATGTTGGTTCCCAATAGCTTCGTTTTACCTCAGGTAATTAGATAATGGGCAAACGGCTCCAGCGGGCGCGCACAAAGTTGTCCAGCACTGGCTGAAGCTGCGCTTGTTTAGGGGACAGTGGAGATGCTGGGTGGCTTTGCGGCTGAGCATGGTGCGCCTTGGTCGAAAGAACGGGGGCAAGTCAATCCTCCACTCCACTGAACGAGCAACAAGCGCCTGGTTCCCTCTAGGCTCCAGCATACTCTCTAACAAGCGAATACTCCCAAGACTGGGTCCTCGGCTCCGAGATGGCCGTTTATGGCTCGAGATCATGGCAAACGCGCGGGTGATGTGACCCGGTCGACGACTCTAACCAGGGACCAGCAGATTGCATGATGATAGCTCGGATGGGCGGGGAGTCCTCTCAACCGCAATCCTGAAGGATGATGCCTCATCTCGTTCGTCCGTCAGTTTGTCTCCATTCTCACATTTCACTGTGGTCACTTTGGTCCGCCAATAACGCTCATCATGAGCAGGACTCTTTGCTAAGGGTCCACTGCCTGCGAGTCTGCGAGGCCGCGGTCGACGTACATGGATTGGTCTTAAGCTTATTGCAATTTCGGCAGTCCGTGGCTTTGCATCTGCTTTGGCATTGGTTCTCTTCCCCAAGCATATCATGGCATACCATACCGACTTTCGCCATTATTGAGAGCTAGCGCGTCACACGGCTGCAGCCAGGAGGCAGAGTAACTTCCCTCGCTTCCGAATGCGCGCACCGCTAAGAAAACAAGGCTCTTACGGTGGGGTTGTTTGTCGATCCGGGCTTGCGGGATAGGCTTATTGGGCCCAACTAGCGAGCGTTTGAATCCATCGTTGGGCTAATTTTGGACGCCATCTTTCTTCAAATCTCCCCTGACTGAGCCCTCTCCGTTTCGCGATGTCCAGGTTGCGGTGAGGGGCTTTAGAGCGCACTCCAAGAAAATGCGTGCTCAGCATGCAAGTCGGCGCTGCCGGTGCAACAGGCAGAACAAGCCTCGAGGTCGAGCCGCTCAGACATTCCAACAGTCATGGAGGCTGCCCAAAATGCAATCCACAAGGACCAATAGGAAGACTTGGCAGAGTTCGTCACCAACTGAGTGAGGATCGCTCGTTGGTTGGCGTAGCCATGCCATCCGCAGCACGGAGTCCGTGGAGATGTTCCCAACCTGCCGCAGTGCAGAATCATTACTCACTGTTTTGGAATCGAACAGATCTCATTCCTAGTTGTTAGGATCAGTCGCCTCTTCGGTACTCAGGCGAGAATGTGTCGTGGCCACGGCCTTTCCGGCATTACCAACAAACCAATTCGACTCATAGACTTGACGTACAACCGTGGCGTAGCTGGACAAGAGAAAGCTAAGCTTTGCAGAATCTGACACATTTGACGCGCGCACGAGGGCCAGACGATGACTGCATATGCACCAACAGGCGCCTCCGATGCTGCAAAGCATACTTGGGGGCAGACTTGAGGCTGAGAACCTGGGGTACCTTATCGAATCCATGACGTGGTCAACGCATCTTTGGTCAGCAGCGCAAACGCTCAGCTTCTTACAAAATATTGTGTGAGTCAAATGGAGACTCAGGCAATTTGGGGACCTACAAGAAGCTGAATTCAGCTCGCCATGCCCTGGGCCTCGTTAAGTTGAGCGTTTGGACCGTACTATATTGTTTGGATGGCACCCACGATATCGGAACAACAGCCGTTGAACAACGTCAATTTGAACAAGGCTGGGCTTCGGATAAAGTTGGAGTGCATCGCACGTAAGACGGCGCGTGCAACTCTCCTTCGAATAGACTTGCCTGGAATCCGGAACTTGGCCAAAGGTGGTTGTTCGTCGCCGGGTAATTATGCACAGCTATCAGCTTCCGCCCCTTCAGAATCACACCAAATAATCTCTCGTTAACTTCACAAAGAGGTACAGCAATTTTGGTGAAATGGCTAGTGGCGCCAAGTATATTCAAAATAAGTATCTGCTCTGAGGATGCGTCCGACAGCTGCTCCTCAACCATCCTGGTTCTCTTGTTGATCCTAGATGCGTGCAGTTTCGAAGCTGGGCCTAGAAGTCTATGTCCCTTTCGTCCATAGTCCAGAGCCCATATTACAGAAGTTCATTCGGCTGTAATACCGTTTATGGTTGTGCAATTTCAGTGGCTATCAAGCCGACCTCTCCACCTCTATTATACCACTGCTCGTGGTTGCTTATCTCCCAAGGTTGCTCACAGACCAGCCGCCTTACCGGCCAGGTAGACCTTGGTGGAATCGAACTGGAGGACATTGCCCTGGGCGTCGGTCATGGCAGCAACGTTGATGGGCACACTGTCTTGAACTTGCGGTGCTTGACGCTTGACCCATTCTATGTTCACGTTAGCACATCACTGCAGGACGTCTCTATATGATGAGGCATACCGTTGTGCTCTCGTTGGGACACAGCCATGGCGGCAGTGACGAGGGTGAAGAGAGTGAGAAGTGAGTACTGCATTTTGACTGTTTTGTATCGAAACGGCGGATCAACACGAGAGGCTTGAAAAATGACCGAATGATGTCGACCGGCGACGAGCAGATAAAGTACAATGAATATGAAGTTGAGTGAAGGACTGGACGACACACAGAATGGAATGAAGAGGGAAGAGGGAGAAGGACCAGAGAGACGGGAAGGCTGTCCTCGATATTTGTATCGCATCAACGCCCAGACTTGCCATCCCATAAGGAGCTTGAGTGATGGCCGGTTTCAGCCAAAACCGGACTGGTGCAGCAGATCGGACGGGACAACAGAGCACACAGATGCCATCCCATTACCTGACGGGCCTTCAACTGAGGCCAACGACCAGCATCTGGACTCACAGATGTTGGACAAGCAAGGCACAGTATTGCCCAAAGGAGCATGGCCCGTGGCGACGACCCTCGAGCTGAGACTGACCCGAACAGGGCCTAGGTCCCTGAAAACTCCACCGAATAAGCAGCTGGCAACGTAACCACAGAGTGTTTTACCGAGGGCCGTAGCATGGGCAAAGATTAAGCTTGCTTTCATTACAGCGGGCGTTAGTGGCAACGAATTTGCTTGACGCCGCGTGGGCCGGCGTAGTTGACGTTTGGTTGGCTGGTTGGGCCATGAAGGGAGTAAGAAGCTTTTCGGGTCCGTTGAGCTGAAACGTGGTTGCGACCGCTTAAGATCTGATGAGCCGCGATCGCCCACCTCCAGGGCTCGGCTGTCCTCGTCTTGGCACGCTGATCAGACAAGCCAACCATTGTTTCCGAGCTTCCGTGTTCCAAATTGTAGAGTAGGCAGTTGACAGAAATCAAGCCTGACGTAAACAAAGGCTTGACCATGTCATATGCTATGCTATGCTGTCAAGAGAAAAGCCTAGACCTTGGGGAGTTAGTGGTAGGGTGGCCCTTGCGGCCAAAAATAGCGACCACAACACTTCGTCCATGACGCCCGGCGGCCTCTTCACAATCGACTCTTTTTTTTCTTCAGTGGTCAAGATGCATATTAACAAACCATCATTTATTTGCAGAGTCTTCTGGATCGACCGCTCTTCGTAGGGAGGGACCAACAAAGTTGAACACTGATTTATTGGTGCCAGGCTACCTATAGGCTGCAGTACCCGGGATTTCGCGTTACGTGTTACAGGGGCATCTTGGAGACTCCTCAGCTTGCGAGATGACTCGGTGTTTCACCTTCTCGAAACGAGGAAGAACATGTTCCGTTGTCGTCGAAGGTCTTGGAGGTTCCATAATAAAGTTCAAAGAGAATCCACCATCAACTCTCTCTTCTTCTCTTGGACGCCCTCCGAGTCGAGTTCGAGCGTAGAAAGCACTCCGTGTGTTGGATTTTACAGCCAAATTCTTGCTGTATCAGTGTTACCAATGCTGCCTGCCAGGTAATGTGCCAGGCGTGCAACGCAAGTGAATTTACAGCTTTGCCCAGTGTAGATCTGACTTACGAGGCAAACAATCGTGTACATTTTTGATTTTGTCAAAGTCAACAGAAGTCGAGCTGAGCAAAAAAGAATTAATTATAAAGATTGTGTATAGAGTAACGATGCAATCAACACATTCTCCATATGTCACTTGGAGGAGACCAAGACGTGTGAGAGTGGTAAGACGCTATCAATCAGCTTGCGTGTCTTTGGATGTGAAGCCAAGTCCTACAGTTTATATTCGTCGTTTCTCGACAACCATCCTCGGCCATGAACAGTTGATCCTCGTAACTATCTCCCGAGAAGGATGACTGGCAATTCCTGGAAGCCAGTAAAGCTAAACATTCTATGTCCACATTTATAAATGAGCAGTTCTCGAAGTGGTCTTAGAGAAGGCCAAGAGAAAAGCAGGCGAGGCTTGGCTGGAGACTTGCATTTGTGTCTTCCCCCCAACAAGGTGCCTCCATAGTACTGCTCTTTGTATACCTGGCCTTTAGCCTTGAAAAATAAGGTTTCTCGTCTAACCGTCATCTCACAGAATTCCCAATAATTTGGCACATAAAGACGAGCTTGTTTTCTGGCAATGTGGGAGGCAATGCGTGGAACAAAAGCCGGGGTTTCCCCACTGCGGTAAGCAGTGGGCTAGAAGCGCCTGGGGCGGGAGTTCTAAGGACGGGAAGGTACCTAGGTAGCCGTGGATCTTCGGTAAGGCTTGCAGCGGCTGACTCGCTCACTGATAAGTTGATAACGTCTTCTCAGCCCCTCCATCCATCTCGCAATGTCTCCAATCTTGGAAATCCCCCTCCTTCTCTCCTCTCCTCTCCTCTCCCCTCACCTCACCTCATCCCACACGCCACGGCTTACCACAAAGTTGGCCCAACAGCGGACAAATCCTCCTGGCGTCAGGTTGTGATTGATAAGCTGCCTCTCAACCCTCAATTGGCCTTCTTTCACTCAACCTCTTCTTATCCGTCACCACCCCTCACTTCCTTCCTGCATAGAACCAGCGATATCAGGTCATCATGGCAACTATCGAGCAGTGCCTGTTCTGCTTTGAGGCTCTGGCGTCCCATCTCGAGGGCCGCAAGTCTATGACTCTTGAGCAAGTCCAGAAATCCTTCTCCGAGTATTTGAAGTCTCTCGACACTGAGACAGGCTCCGAGACGGCCGAGGCGGGCTCGGAATCTCAGAAGCTCAGCAAACAGCTTCCAGCTCTGCGGCGGGTGGCGGCCTCCTCCTCGAGCGACAGCTCCTCACCATCATCAGCCTCCGTTTCCACGACCTCCTTGGCCGCCGACACTCCAGCCACATCGATGGCCTCTCTCGTCGCCTCCAACACCCCCGAGGAGTACCCGCTCTTCGTGACATGGAACATTGCGTCCGCTCGCGGCGGATATAACCTGCGAGGCTGCATTGGGACGTTTGAGCACCAGCCGCTGGAGGAGGGTCTGCGAGATTATTCCATCACGTCGGCAATCCACGACACTCGCTTCAACCCCATCAGCATACGCGAGCTCTCGTCGCTCGAGGTCGCCATCACGCTGTTGACCGATTTTGAGGATGCGGCCGATGCCATGGACTGGGAGATCGGGACGCACGGTCTACGCATCAGCTTCTACTACCATGGACGGCGATATGGCTCTACCTACCTGCCGGACGTGGCGCCCGAGCAGGGCTGGACCAAGGAGGAGACGGTGCTCAGCTTGATGCGGAAGGCGGGCTGGATGGGCAACCGCAGCAAATGGCGCGATGTCGAGCTCAAAGTGGTACGGTATCAGGGAAAGAGAGAGAGCCTGCAGTACGGAGAATACAAGCGCTGGAGAGACTGGGCGGACAAGAAGGCAAAGGCATGATAGACGGCGCCATCATAGGCAGACTAAGGGGAAGGGCACTGGGCGTAACAGGCGTATTCGGTTGTGTTAAGAGATCATTTCATGGCGTTTACGCAGGGCCATTTTGAGGGCGGGATGGAATCCCCATAGAGGTATCTTGGAATGATGTTTGGTTAGCTTTTCTATCATGTGGCATCATACAAGAGGGAGAATTGACTGTCATCTCAACTCAGTATTTTGCCCTGCCGCATGAGTAACCTGGGCAAGCAGTGCGCAAAGGCAGCAGACATTTAACGGGCAAATCATGATGAAAGGGTGATCAAAGAGACGGAAGATAGATGGATAATCTTTTGCCATTAGAACAAAACGCTACACTTGCTTTGCGCAGCAGGCCGATCAACATATCAAGCCAAGTCAATCCAAACCGCCGTATCCGAACGCCGGGTTACCAAGGGATATATGACTTGAAGTTGCCTCCATGAACGCTTGCACACGATACACACACAAATGTCGTCGTCGTCAAGGGGTGATCCATTCAAATGGGCCCCTCAACTCATCGTAACCATTCCTCGTTAAACCGTCGCCCCCGATCTCTTCCTCCAGCTTGTTCTCTCGTCGCGATCTTCTTGCAGCGTATTCCTATGCATTGTCACCAGCACCTAAGTTTCTTCCAGAAACCTCCTCCGCCCCTGCCGATCTTGTCTCCCTGCAGGTTCGGCCCTCTCATCCCTGGGCCCCTGCCATCGGCGCCAACCTTCTCATTCTCGCTCGGCGGCAGCGGGCTCAACGGCTTCGTCATGCCGCGCCGGTCCATCTGCGCCGGATCATGGTCCAGCACGCCCATCTCTGCGAGCCGTCGGCCCTCCACGACGCGGCGGACAATCAGCGCAAACGTCTCCTCGATGTTGACCTCGAGCCGCGCGCTCGTCTCCATGAACCCGCAGCCCCGCCGCCTCGCCCAGTCCAGGCCCATCGCCGCCGGCACCTGCCGGCTCTCCTGCAGGTCGCACTTGTTGCCCGCGATGATCTTCACCGGCGGCACCGTCTTGGCACCCGAGCCGCCGCCGCCATAGCTGTCCTGTAGTGGGTTGACGCCGGCCTTGCGCGCGCGAGCCGCATTGTCGAGCCGCGTCTCGGCCTCCATGTCGATCAGGTCGTTGAAGTACTGCAGGGCGTCCAGGGAGTCGCGGGAGGTAATGTCGTAGACCATCAGGAAGGCATCCGCGCCAAGGTTGCTGCTAGCCCACATGCCGCGGTACTCCTCCTGGCCGGCGGTGTCGGTTAGTGACAGGTGGTAGGTGTTGCCATCGATGCGCCGCGTGATGCTGTAGCTGTCCTCGATGGTAGGGTCGTACTCGGAGGTCCATTGCGACCTCACCAGGCGCAGTGTGATGGAGGATTTACCACAGCCGCCATCGCCGCAGATGGTGATTGATATGGGGATTGGCGGCTGATTGTTCGAATTCGAGTTCGTCGAGGAGTGTGAGAGAGGCATGGCGGACTCGAGTATGGATACTGGGATGAAAGCTCTGAAAGCGACTGTAAACAGCCCTCACTGAGCTAGTCAAGCTCGAGATTGCGACTAATATCGCCGACAAATCCTACTTCCGGTCGTTCTATCACTTGTTTGCTTTGAATAGTTATTGCAAGAAGTGATCAGGCTTTGGTACAAAGTGATTCCCTCGCGGGGTTCTGTCGCGGATGGTCCAGTCAAGGCGCGAAGAATGCAGGCTAGTCGAGCAATAAAAGCTACGACCAAGAAGGAGAGATTGTAATGCTGGCTTAAGAATGACCGTTTGCTCTTTCGCTATACTCGAAGTGCTAGGCAACGTTTAAGTCGACCGTTGGTAGCGTTGAGGTTGAGTCAAACGGGGGCGGGGGGTGTGTGTTATGCAGACGGGAGCTGACTGATCATCTGAGGTCGTCGCAAGGAAAGAGAGATAGAGAAAGTAGTTAATAAGTGAGCGGTGAGACAGCTGCTTAGACCAGAAGCCTCAAGTGATGGAGCATCAGACAATTGAGAGACGTCAGAGACAGGATGGCACAGCAAGACTGGATTCAAGGGAAAATGAGGCAATGGACGGGGCGGATGTAGAAAAGTGTGTGGAGGATGACGACGGATAGAGAGCCAGAAGCCAGAAGCCAGAGAGCATTGGGAAGTAACTGCTTTTGCTTTTTTTCACTCTGATCGACTTCCCCCTCCCCCCAGTCTGCTGGGATCCCGACCGCGGATTTTCGTGCTTGCAGGAATTTTCGCCCTGCTCTCTGTCTCTCTACGGTCCTAGTCTACTATTACGGTTATGGATGGAGGGATGGAGTGACTGCTCGAGCGCACAGAAGCGCTGGGCCACCACTACGCATTCCCACCACACCCTCGTCGCGCCTTGGTCCATCTCTCTCCACAGCGATGCTACCTAACCTCACTTTGATGTTTCCTTATTCTGGATGAAGCAATTGAAGCAACGCCCGCAGTTGGTGGCGGGTTGAGAACCGTTGTCCAGTGATCTCTCAATGTTGATTACAGCGCTGTCTCCAATTCTGACCGTTCATGACCTACATTTGACTATCGATTATAGCTCCTGTCTAGCCAGGGCTGAAGGCGTGGGAAAACGTTCAGGTCCACCTTAGGAAGGCAATATTAGAGGCGTCGTCCAGGAGCTGCGTATAGGTGGGAACCCCTGCTTCTGGCAGCGTGCCTTCAGCCCGCCCCCCCTTTTTCGCTATTATTCCGCCAGCTCTTAACAGACGCCATCTTCCCATTCGCGGGGATAGAACGCTGATGGAGGTGCAGGACCCTTGCTGCCCTTGTGCCTTGCCGGGTGCCGCCGCCCGTGATTTGCTGGGAGCGCCGTCCCGCACGAGGCGCGTTGCCCCTTTCACCGCCGCCGCCGTCAAAACCTCGTGGCTGCGATCCCTTCACAATGGCAACCCGACTCCTAAAAGGGGCAGTTGATCGACGGCTGTGGGCTGGTTCGCCCTACAATCTCTCCAAGTTTGACGCACCTCGCCCTGGAAAATGCAGGCAAGATATTTCCATTCGTGGGAGCATTCTGGTATGCAATCGGGGCTTTTCTGACCTCTGCAATCAGCGAGATGCTTGACGTCGATGATGCTCCAGTCGTCACGCCTTCCTGAAAGGCAAGATATGCTTGCCCAGCGATTCACGGGCTTGGGATGCTCTGCTATTCCGAGAATTCGAGCGCTGCTCCACGTGTGCTTCAGGGATATCGCATTGATCACCAGAGCAGTACAACCCTATTGGTGCTCATGTGCGCTCACGCATTGACCGCTGAGGATCCCTAAAAGAACAGTATTCGGAAGCTGGCAGAGTCCTACGGGTCTTTTCAGTGTCTCTGCAACCACTCATATGTGCACGATAACTTTGATCCAACCCTCGGTCAGAAGCTGGAGGCAAAATACACCCTGACCAGGCTCCAAGACAGGTTTAAAGTGTGTATGTTTCCGCTACTCGTCCTGCAGGTTGGATCCCTCCTTCACTGGACACTTGAGATAGCGACCCTCCACCTACATCACAAATGATCACCACTTTACAGTGTTTCAAACGAATGCCCAATGCTACACTGGTTGCTGTTGCATGAAAGCAACCTGATTAAGAAGCTGCACAAGCACACGGCGTTTGAAACACAGGATCAGATCAGATATAATGCTTCGTGATCGGTGTCAAGATAGACACCAATCTGCCTTGCCTCACTTACACACGATTTGTCATTGATGAGGTGCAAGGACATGGAGAGGAGAACGGCTGTTTCTCTACTTGTTTCTAACGGCTGCAATTGCTCCGGCTGCCCATTGCCGACATGCCTGATGGATGCAGTGTGACTGGAAGGTCAGAATACCGGCCACCATTGCCTGTCGAGTGACGCAGGGAAGATGCAGAACGGAGGCATTCAAAAGTCGTTTTGTGACCTCTACTTGATGCCTCACAGATTCTCCATCACCGATGTTACTCGTGCTCATTAGACAGTTCCACATAGGCGAGGGCGGTAGGTCATCAAGGTAATACAGAGCCCCGCCTCAGGGACCACATCCCCATCGCGGGGTAGTACCTTGCCCGTCGCTAAGAGTCTGTGGTGACCAGAAAGCCATTGATATCATTGCATCTGACACGTCTTACCAAGACAGATTGGATGAGATTCTATAATTGTCTCTTTAGATCTAGGGAGATGCTGGTCGGTAGGACCAAGAGTGCTGGATCTAGTGGTACCTCGATGGGTTTATGAGAAACAGGAGTGCCTCTGTCGCACAGACTCATGGCTACTGTATATCTACAAAAACAGACTGACGAGCAAATGGGATGGGTGGGCGAACCGCTGGGGAACGGCACGGCTCATGTAGTCTACTAGACGCCCCCCTTGGTTGGCAGGAGGTTTCTTATTGATAATGGGCGGATACCATAGGCAGTACCATGAGACCCCTAATAGTTGGTTACCACTAGACTACTTCTTGTCAATGGTGAAGAGACTAAGAGATTCATGTCATCGTTCAAGAAGCTTCTTGAGCAAATTCGTCTGAAACTGTTAGCTGGCCAACAGTCAAAAGAGCCGCCAAGACCCTCGGGCATTAAACGGTATTTTACCTGTCATTGGTCCCTGGTGAGGTCATCGGTAAAGATTCGGTAGACGGCATTGCTAACGATTTTTGCGCCATGAGGCCTGTGACACATGGCTCCGAAATAGGACGGAAGAGTTTTTGTGGATCCTGAGGGTCTAAGCCGCCCGCGATGGGCCATCAACGCCGGACTGAAGGATTCAAACCTGTGTTTTCTCACGGAAGCCGCAGGGGAATTGGCATGATGAATGGGGTTTCAGGTCCACATGCAGAGCCGCTGCAAAGGTCGAGCGAGGTTGCCGATGTAAGTTGGGCCTATCAAACACTTCACTCGTGTTACACCCAACTCCACGGCGCTCACTTACTCACCTCCGGGGAATAGCTCATCGATGCAGTCAAGGCGCTTCTACTTCCTTTCATCAAAGCCGCAGATGATGCTGTGCCTCAGAAGGTGACTGGACAGACACAACTCAATGTGGATGGCCTCCCACGGAATGCACTGGTAGACCTTTATCCCCCTGAAGAGCTCGTGAAGCGTCTTGCATTTTCTCTGCCCTCGGACGAAGGACTTGGCAAAGATGGACTGCTGGACGTTGTGCAGAGGATACTCCAATACAGCGTGAATACATGGGATCAGGGTTTTCTGGACAAGCTCTACTCAAGCACCAATGCAGTAGGTATGTCCTTATCGACCAGAATGAAGAAAGACAACTGATGTTCTTAGGTTGGTGTAGTATCAGAGATGCTGCTGTCGGTGCTGAACACAAATGTAAGTCATCAAAACAAAGTATAACCAACTTTCAGGGCTAATACCTGTATTAGTTGCACGTCTACCAAGTTTCGCCTGCCCTTACAGTGGTAGAGAAAACAACTGGGCGAGCTTTCGCTAAGCTATTCGGCTTTGATGGACCACGCGCTGGTGGTGTAACTGTTGCTGGAGGTAGTGCTTCGAATATGACCTCTGTTGTTATAGCCAGAAATACTCTTTACCCAGAGTCGAAAGTCACAGGCAACGCACAGCATCACTTTATCCTTTTCACCAGCGCCCACGGCCATTATTCGGTCGAGAAGGCTGCACAGACCTGTGGCATGGGTTCATCCAATGTTTGGGCCGTTGCAGTCGACTCAGCCGGCCGTATGATCCCGGCTGCTCTACGCGATCTGGTCGTCCAGGCAAAAGCAGAAGGAAAGACGCCGCTATACGTCAATGCCACCGCCGGCACGACAGTGATGGGGTCATTTGATCCATTCGAAGAGATTTCGGCCATCTGCAAAGAGTTTGGCTTGTGGTTGCATATCGATGGAAGCTGGGGCGGACCGACCATCTTTTCCAGGAAACTAAAGCACAAGATGAAGGGCTCGCACCTTGCCAACTCTCTTACCGTCAATCCACACAAGATGTTGAACGTTCCCGTAACGTGCTCATTCCTGCTCGGCCCCGACATGAAGGTCTTCCACAAGGCTAATACTTTACCTGCTGGCTACCTGTTCCATACAAAGGAAGAGGAGGATGCAGAGGTCTGGGATCTGGCTGATCTGACTTTGCAATGCGGCCGAAAGGGCGATAGCGTCAAGCTTGCGTTGTCCTGGATATACTATGGCGCCGCGGGCTTTGAGAAGCAGATTGATCATGCTTTCGAAGTAGCCCATCACCTTGCAACCAAAGTTGAAGAGGATGGGAATTTCCAACTCATCTCGTCGAACCCGCCACCTTGCCTTCAGGTGTGTTTTTACTATGCACCAAAGGATCAAGAAGCGGCGAGTGCCGAATTGAATACTTTCAGAACTAGGGAGATGGCCAAAAGGCTCATCCCACGAGGCTTTATGATTGACTATGCTCCTGGACCAATTGGGAGCTTCTTCAGAGTCGTCGTAAATTGCCAGACGCAAATAGGAACAGCAGATGGTTTGGTGAAGGCGCTGCTAGAGGTGGGCAAGGAATTAGATGGCTTGGTTCAGTGAAACCAGGTCGGCTAGACGACGCTAACGAGGAAAGAGACATACACCGACTGCTTTTAGAGAAGATAGACTCGGGCCCTCGTAATGGATGATGATAAAAGTTAAAATAGAGTAGAGGGAACCTCTGAAAATTCATAGTTTTATAAGCTGGAAGACAAGAGCACTTTGCTGAAGAGTGTTGGAGTTTGTCACGGACCCACCTGCTTGAAGAGATTCTGATAAGATAGAGTCGCGATAAGCGATAACGATTTTTCTCCCAAAATTTCCATTCGAAAGTTCATTTTCTCAAAGTCCACCCCACCAGGTTTCTATCAACACATCTCTGCTCTTACAAACACGACAAGATGGGCAAGAATCGGAAATCCAAGCGACAGCTCATTCGCGACGAAAAGAAACTCAAGAGGAAGAACCAGGAGTTTGAGGAGGAAGAGACGTCCCATGATGCCAAGCGACAGCGGTTCGAAGCCCAACCCGAAGCAGCTGGAGATTTCATTCCTCTCGATGAAGGTAATGATGTCAATCGACCCTACGATGAGCCCGAACGCGAATTCTTCGGCATGCTTGCCGATGAAGAGCAGGAATACTTTCGCCGGGCAGACGAGATGCTCGAGCTCGACGACTTCCCGTCTGCCGAGGACCGAGACATCTTCCTCGAAAACGTCTACAAGGAGGCAGAAGGAAAGGAGTTGAAGCTCGCCAGCAGCCAGTCATGCTCGAGATTGATGGAGCGATTGATCATGTTGTCAAATACCAGGCAGAAAAAACATCTATTCGAGGCATTCGCCAGCCACTTTGTTACCCTCGTCACACACCGATTTGCCAGCCATTGCTGCGAGAAACTGTTCCTGGTCTCTGCACCAGTTGTCACACGGGAGCTCGCTGGAATTGAGGAGGAGCAAGACAAGGCTGAGGAGGTCGGCTCAGAGGAGAAGCCAACGTCATCTATGGAGGAATTGTTCCTCTTGACATTAGACGAGCTCGAACAGCATCTTACATATTTGTTGTCAGACCGATTTGCGTCTCACACCCTTCGAGTTTTGCTGCTCGTATTGTCAGGCCGGCCGTTGGAGGGAGCCTCAACAAAATCACTATTGCAGAGTAAAAAGAAAGAACACATATCAGTGGCACGCCCGACCGCAAATAGTGAGCTAGATTCCCAGCTGCGTGCTGTGCCAGAATCATTCACCATGGCAACACAAAAGATCATCGAAGACACCGCGGCTTCGATGGACGCAACAGCACTCCGTGTGCTAGCGACACACCCGACAGGCAATCCTGTCCTACAGCTGCTGCTTGAGCTGGATATATCCCTAAATGCAAAGGATAAGAACAAGAAGGATAGCCTACTTCTGTTCAAGCTCCTACCAGGTGCCCCTTCGTCATTAAACGACGCTACTTCGTCAGCAACAGATTTTATCAATCAGATGCTATATGATCCAATTGGATCTAGACTGATAGAGAGCATTATTACACATTCCCCCGCGCAGGTCTTCAAAGGCCTTCATGCGAATTTTTTTGGTCCGCGGATAGACAGCTATGTTCGCAATGATATTGCATCATATCCGGCGATCAAAGCTCTAGTTCGGATGGGAAAAGACGATCTTGCGAACGCTGTCGAGAAAATTCTTCCAGAGGTCACCAAATTGGTGGAGAGAGGGCGCTACAATGTGCTCAAGACGCTTCTTGAGCGATGTAACGTACGACATGCAACGAGCCAACTCAATAGCCTGGTCAAGTTGATTTGCTCTGCAGCTGGAACCGATCCCAACTCATTGGTGGCCAAGTTCTGCGGGCTTGATGAAGAGGAGGTTGTCAGCAAGAATGAGCCGCAACAATTTGCCAAGAACAAGTTGGTCCTGAAATCCCACGGGTGCCAGCTTGTCACGGCGATGCTCAGCATCCCAGGCCAGCCTTCGAGGGCTGTTCAGGCATCACTGCTGTCTCTTGATTCTGACCAGATTCTGCGACTGGCAACAACTTCGTCGCCAACTGTCACCGTGCTCACGACAGCATTCTCAGCCCCATCACAGGTTCCTAATTTCCACAAAGCACTTGTCTCAAAGCTCATGCAACATACCATGGAGCTTGCCAATTCCCAGTTCGGACACAAAGTCCTCATTGCCATCGTCTCTGTGCCGTCAAAGGGGCAAGGATTGTCGATCCCATTCCACCTCAAGGAAGGTGTCATCTCGGTGCTGGCAAGCCACGAGAGAGAGCTCAGAGATTCGTGGACGGGCCGTAATGTATGGAGGACGTGGAAAGGCGATCTATGGAGCCATCGCCGAAGCGAATGGATTAGATGGATCAAGGAGTTTGATCCCGCCGAGACAAAAGACGGGCTGGCCTCGAAACCAAAGCCATGGCAGACGGCTAGGGCTGGGGACAAGAGGAGATAGGCGCCAGGCAACGAACGGGTAAAGGCCAGGCTAGGGATCCATTTTGTTTCAGTAGCTCCGTACCTAAATACCCCATGTTATCTTGAGACCAGGCCGTCCGTGTTGCATGTTGTTCAGTATGTCAATGTAGCGGACAGGCAGGTGGTATCGGTACTGGTGATGAGCAATGCTAGGAGAAGCAGTCTCAACGTAGCGTACCGCAGAAGGGCCGGGAGGCGGCAGGGTCCCGTCTCGCAGGGCATTGAGAGCCTGGAAACAGATGTACTTATGCACATCAATCCATGAGATCGCCCGATCGATCCCCATCTCGTTTTCTTCACCAGCCAGACCCCCTCCCCTCGTTTTTCCAACGTGGATGAATCCCAGGAGGTGGAATAAGGTCCATTGGCCTCAATTGCTTCCCGCAGCTGTGCAGCATAATGTGGAACCCTTCCCGTACAACTGGGACCGTTAACCCTGACTGAGCCTCTCTCCACTGTTTGGACATTGCGCTGCAGCTGCAACTGCACTGAAATGCGCTAGAAATAGGGACTGGCTGGGGAGGGAGATTGGCATTGGCATTGGCATTGGCATGTTGCAATTCCCAGTGATGAAGTAAGCGAATTACTCGCGTATCTCACGATGGAGAAACTTTGGCCCCCGATGCCGCTTTGGGGCACGACGCAGTGGGGATTGTCCAGTGGGATGGGTGCTACCAGGCTTGTTAGGGAGGTGCCCACTTGTTGAAACAGCTGCTCTGCAGTAATCGCTGCACACACTCAGCCACCAAACCTGTAATGCCGTCTGACTCTGCTGTAGATTGCCCGAAGGAGTGAGAGCTAGAGCTGGAGGAGCAGCCCTAGGCGTCTTCGTGACAGGGGCCGGCGCCCCAGGTGCCCAGCTATATGAACGGTTGTAAGGCATTTCTGTGGGTAGCGAGGTACCTACATGTGTAGGTAGGTCAGCATCTAGATAACTACCTGATAATGTAGCAGATCTGCGTGTGCGCGCGCACTCACAGCCTTACCCCATCCAATCCTCCAGCTGCTGCTTATGCTGCTGCTGCGTGGTGCTGTCACTGTCAGCACTATATTTTGGGCTCTTGTTTGGGGGGGCCATTCGGTGATTCGCGCGACGTCCAAACTCCGTCCCGTCGTTGGTCGAAACCTCGCACCCCGCGCTCCGGTCTAGCTAAACCTTAGGTTCATCAACTCGCAACACAACCCTTCCTCGGCTTATCCTGTGGTGTCTACTCTTCACCTCGTCTCACCTCACTTCACCTCACTTCACCTCACCTTTAAGGACCTTGCTCAATCAGCGGGAGTCTTCTGCTTGGGAGCCCCGCGGATTGAATGGATACCCATCCAGATCATAGCGTCTTTTGATTCCCGCCGTTGCTCGCTTGCTCACAGGCGCATCGGCTTACTAGAGTCGCGCCCGATGCTGAGTGCAGAGCCCAAGGTCGAAACAATGGCGCCGCTCAACCATCGTCTCATCGGAGCCGTGCATGTGCAGGCCCAAGGCCACGCCCATGCCCTGCCAGAGGACAAGGAGGAGACCCCCAGCACCAGCACGCCCGAGCGGTTCGAGGACGTGACAAGCATCGCCACGGCCCATCAGTCGCCGCCCAGCCAGGAGCACTGGGAGGCCAAGAAGGCGGTCATCAAGGCCATGTACATGGACCAGAACATGAACCTCAACGAGGTTGTCGAGAGGATGCGGACCTCGCACGACTTTAGGGCAACGTGAGACCCGTCTTTGCACGATTGACAGGCGCAGCCGCTGACTCTTCACAACCCTTTACAGCCCCAGGATGTACAAGGCACAGTTTGCAAAGTGGGGATGGTCCAAGTACAACTCAAAGAGACTGCGCCGTGACATCTCATCTGGCAAGTCCGTGGAGAAGTCCCACGGCAAGTCCTGCCGCCGCGTCAGGAGACGCCGTGGCGCTCTGGAGCAGGCGCTCAGCCAAGTAGTTGAGAACTCTCAGGACAACCAGATCGTCCGCCGTCCAACCACCACGGCACCTCCCGGTTTTGTTCTACAGATGACCCACGAGAGTGACGCTGCCCGTAACATCGAGGCCGTACTAGCTGACATCCGTAGCCATGTTTTCGGCTTCTACACCCGCAAGCGTGAGTGGATCGAGACTCCTGAGACTGGGCTCATAAGCGCATATAACTATGGCTTCTATGAGTCATTCCGCGTGGCCATGGACAACTTCCTGATGAACGAGCACACTAACGGCGGTGAAATGATACGACGGGCTTTCCTCGAAGTTGAAGACGCCGTCAACGCCGACTATACTACAACGTTTTACTTTCTGTTTATTGATCTCCCGGATCTATTCCTGGACTACGGTCGCCATGACATCCTGACGATTCTCTTAGGCCATATCAGCAAGCTCGCTTCAGTCAAGCTACGTGACAAGATTCTTGGACATGGCTTTACTAGTCTTCACGCGCTCGTGCGCCAGAACCCAGCAATGTTGCGTCACTATATTGGTACCGCCTCGCTACTATGGACGGATTTGCTGCAGCAGTTAAGGGGGCCGCAAGACCGCAGTACCCTTTTAGCAAAGCGCAATTACCTTCGACATAGCCGCAGTATCGAGAAGAGCCGGATGGAGGAGTTGTGTCAAGGCTACTATCATCTCCTCACGGAATGTCAGGCTGTATATGGCGAGAAGCACAGCGCCAGCCAGCATCTTGAGGACATCATCTTGTTGATCCAGTTCAACTACGACATGTTCCTGGATGACTTCGAGAAGCGGAACCAGCGGCTCATCACGGACATCTGCAACAAGTATGGCGGCCAGACCTCTGCGAGCCCGAACTGGGACATTCTCGACCGGAACATATACAGCAACTGCTTCGAGCGTCTTGGTGCGTTCTACACCAAGAAGAACGAGATGCAGCGCGCCATTATCTGCCAGCGAAAGGCACACGAGGGCTGGAGGACGCGGTACTGGCATATCGAAGTGGAACGGGCTCTGGCGGCCACCGGACGGATCTTCGAGTGCGAAACTGTGCGCAAGTGCCGTCTTGAGAGCCAGTATTTCCGCAGGCTACCGGACAATGCGACTTTGCAGCTAAAAAGACCCGACTGAAGCATCTCAAAGGTCTTGACGAAGTCGTAGACGACCTTCTGGTATGCCGTGAGGCTTGCCACGGGGGGGAAGCCACAGATGGTTTCGCACCAGAGCCGCGCCAATGCTGTCATTGACGCTTGCACAACATGCTGGCCACCACATTGGTTACGGAGGCATGGACCTCTCGAAAGACTCTTCAGGTGCAGTTGACTAGAAGACGAAAGAGCGATCGGCCCCCGAAACGCTTAACCCAGCGAAAGCTTCGAGTTCAAGGTGTTGTCCGTTCTCCAATGGTTGGGACGATTACCCACAACCTGGACTCGGAAGTGTGGTGGCTGAAGCATGCTGTGATCAAGGTCTAAAATGCTTGAGTCTTTGATCACTTGATATGCTTGTCAAGAGATGAGATTGATGACGTGGGAAGACAGAGCTGAAGAATGCCTTTCTTGAAATGAGAGTCGCCAGTATCGCCTTTGGGATGGCTGCCAGAGCCTACAGCGAGTGTGATGTTCATAAAGGTCATTACGGACAGGCGGTCTCTTCAAGCCCACATCTGAAAAACAAGTTGGAAGGGGTGCAGAGGTACAGCTTTGTAAATCTATCTCCACGAGTGTCGGTCGGGTCGGTCAAATCCAACCTGGACATTGTACGCTTGGTATAACGAAGCATGTAGTCTTCCGTTGCTAGAGACATAAGAATCTATAATTTGGCTCAACCTCCATCATATAGCTATTGAGATAGAAACATAAGGGAAGGGTCCATGCCATGCGTCAAGACGAGAATAGTTGTCATCTGCCTCAAACACTCTCGGCCAGTCTTTATCCTCGGCTCATACGTCTGCTCTTGTGTATCTATACCTGCCACAAGCCTTAGATCGATTGCTAGGTCTCTCACCGACATATATCCAACTCACTGCTGTGTGCATTTGCAAAAGCTGGACCCGCACTCTATGAAGGTCAAGACTCCGATTCTTCAAAACAGGGAAGCGACTTTGAGGCTAGATACATCGAATACTGAGAAGCGAATATCTCACAAGAGACGCCAAGTCCACGCTGTGGCAGTAGACGGCCCTTCATATAACAAGCCATGAGATTGTTTACGCTGATGTTTAGGTGCCGATGTTGGGGGACACTTCAGACGGCAGATTGAAGACAAATGTCGAGAACGTGACTATGTGGTTTTGCTTCCTGCGACTGAAGAGACGATAAGTAAGGAAAGTATCATAGTGTCTATTACTACAGTTGGCTAGATATCCAGTTCTCTGGAAGCGCTAAACAAACAAGCGGTGTTGAAACCTCATCCAGAAGCCTTGTACAAAATGGACATCAGTTGCTAGAGCTAGGAAGCAAAGCAGCGATTACCGTTTTGAGAGTTATCGAACAGAGACGACCCAACCTCTCATGATGGAATCGCCCTAGATTTAGGTAGCGTAAATGACTGCCATGCTCGTGAACTACTTGTTCCAAGCGTGCAGATAAACTTTCGATGTGAGGTGACCGGGGAAGTGTTGCATCTCTCCCCGTCTTGCGCCGTCTCTATTGAGCTGGCTGGAAATTCATTTCACGACCCACAGCCAAGGTAGGGAGTGCATCGGGCCAACAGACAGCGAAATAGCTGCGTCCTAAGGCCAGAAAGTTTGCTTCCAGAAGACACACTACTGAAGCCACTGAAGAACAATTGAGCGATGCTAAATCAGCAAAGACTCTCACATTGGTAACGTCTTCTCCTCACTTCCAGATTCGGAGATTTCGGGGTCGATGGTGGTGGTAGCTAAGCCGGATACATACGAAGCTCACGATCCCCAAATGGCAAAACTGTGATTAGTGAACAGTCCTAAATCGAACCGAGATCGAAAGTAGCAAGTCTGGATGACCTTTTTACAGATCTATAAGGTCCCTGGCCGTTCTAAAGAAGACCCGAGGATCTGGTTACGCGCGGGCGGCGGGCGAATCTATCTATCTCCCGGCGCGGGGGTTGGGAGAGCTGCCACTCCGAAATCCTTCGGGCTACCCACCATCTGGATTGAGCTATGATAGCAAGCTAGGCGATATTGAAGGGCTTCTACCCCGGTTCGGTCACAGGAGAGACCCCAAGGAAGACGATAGCGCGCTTTAATTCCAAATCGATAGATTGAGAAGCGGGTATTATCCCTTACCAAGCAAGCAAATTCTACGGTTGCTTGATCGATTGAAGGGAAAAAACCCCCCGAAGGCTCGAGTGACATGCCGGCGCACCAGAGCAACGGCTAGCAGGGAGTTGGAACGGGGGACCTGTCATCGCATTAATGTGGCATCTGTGTGAAGAGAACCTCGGCCACGGAAAGGCCTCCGAACACCTGCCATGGAACAGGTTTCTAGGACCCCGATCAACACAAGGGTTCCAAATCAGCGCACCTTGGTAGCAAAGTGGCTCTGGATCGGCACAATTAGAAAAGACACAGTGCTCCAACACTGCCGAATCTCCCAATGGATGATCTGCTTCGCTTGCTGGGCTGGAAAACGACAAACGAGCAATTCGATATCTTTGAATGGGGTTTCGAAAGAGGTGGAGGAGCTGTGATGTCATACGGCCTAGTGAGGCCCTTGACGCCACGAGGCCCGGCTCACTCTACAACCGGGCATCTGGGCCAAACCTTGAGGCTTTCAAGAGCTTACACAAGTGAGGAAACAGTTGCGATGCTGTTTAGGGAGCGGATTAGGGCTGATACAGCGATGTGCTGATGGACGGCTTGTAAGTGGCAATTTTGCTCAAAGGCTTGTCAACTATAGTCAAAGAGTCTTTACTGATTCAGCTCGTACAGCTCCTCGCTATCTCCGCGATTAGGTGGTAAATCTCGGCTGAATTGAATCCAGTGGATCTGAGTGTTCGGTGCATTCACCATGCAAGTCGAGAAGGCGTGTCAAGCGATACGCATCTATCTGAAGTGAATGAGGCTTGTCTAATAGCTGTCAACGGCCGCGGCCTCTTTTCGTCTCAAAAGATTCATATGGTTCCGCAGGAGAGGCAACCTGAGACGGGCGCATTTCCCGCATTTGATACGAAACTGGGTATCCCCTCTTGAGGGTGGCAATGTTGCGATAAGAAGGGGGTGATCCCGAAAAACTCCCAAGGATAATGGGCTGAAAATGCCATGCCCGAGATATGGGATTTGTCCACAATACCATGTATCCGTTTTTAATTTTGACGCAACTGTGACGACAGTTTTTTTCAATTTTACTGGGTCGAAGTACTTCTCTAGCACGATCCACACGTATAGTGGACGCTGAATTGATAGGTCGGTACGGCGACCGTACTGTGCAAGCTCGAAAACGTCAACGGCAACGCTGCCGAGTTGTTGAGAGGACTCTGTAAGCAGTTCCTAGTGCGCCTGAAAAGGGAAACCGAATCGTCCGTCTGAACGGCCCCTCTGTGGCTGGTGCCAGCGATGGCCCCCGCTCTTTCCATCTGGTCAGGGTTAGAGGGGCTCTCCTGTGCATGTTAAGATGCATTGTACTGCCATGTAGCTCTCCGGAGCACTTTGTCCGGAGAGTTTGCTCCGTCCCATCCCTCATCTGTTTCCCCAAACAGTAGGCTCCAGACAGTAGGAATGCAATGCTGCTTTGAAGATCAAAATACAGCTGGTTTCTGTTGGAAAAACCTGTTCCTTGACACCCCTCCCTTCCCCTTCAGGTCATACTGCTGTAACCGTGATGGATCCGGTCCCGTCAAGGGCCCAGGATTGGCGTCTCCAAATGCCTCCCGAAAGTCAGTTTCTACCGCAACTAGCCACGGGTGTGCTGACCTTACACCTCCGCCGGGGTAATATTTGTTAATTTTGAGTGGAAACTGTGACTTTTCAGACAAGGGCGTTGCTACTTTTG